CTTGCCATATAGTCGAGGCTTCTCTGAAGATATATATATACATATATATAAGTATATATGCATATGTACATCTGTTGTTTGCTTGTTGGCAAAATTATGCGCGAGTAGTCGAATTTGATTTGATTTTGACTGTGCAACCACTTGATAGGCCTGCGGCATCAACAATGTTTTGGCCTCTTGGAAATAAGTTGGCAAGCACAGATTTTGGCCTTTTCAATGCGGTAAGCTAACATACTAAAGTTTTTAGCAAACGGAAGTCATTTAAGACCCGCCTCAAAGTCTTGAGCAAGTCTGGCCCGATTAGATTACAAATATCGTAATTAATCGCATAGCGGGTCAAAAATATTAAATTTAGGTTAGAAGTTTGTGTCTGTTAAGAATCAAATTAAAAATCACATCAGGAATTATTCGTGCTAAATTTTAAACCGCATTTATCTCTGCGTCATTTGTTTGTATTTTAAATGCCTTTAAACACTTTTCACATTAACCAAATACACATATAGGGATTAGAGGGTGGCGTGACCGCATGCCTTTTATCCCACATCGTTCTTTTTATGTCACACTCATGTATTTTATCACTGGGTTTTATTACACAGTGTAAGTATCAAGGTAGTCCCCAAAACAGATGCAAAACTGAGCAAAAGCAAAGCACATTATCAACCAGGCCACAGGGGACTCGGACATGTAAGAGAAACAGAAGCTGCTCATTAAAAAGATCTTGCATAAGAAGGGTATATTGTTGGCAACAGACAAAAGAAGTTAACTCCGTCCTTATGAATATATCCGTTGGCTTATTTCGAACTATCGATCGCTCCCCTACTTTTCCTAAATTGAATATAATTTGAGCATAGCTAAAACAGGAAAATTGGGTAGTAAATTCTCATATGATACATCCAGCTCAAGCTTAATAATAACAGAAAAAAAATTAAATCCAATAATAAATCTGTATTTTCTTATATTTTCGTGACGATCAGACAATTAACAGAAAAGCTTAACACAAATATTTCATATAAAGAATAATGAGCACAAATGCTGGAGAAGCTGCTTTATACAAATCTCGTTAACAGGGTATCTCTAGTCGGCTATCTTAACTTGAACACTTTTTACTGATTTGGGTTGGTTCTTGTTGTTTTTGGGGCGTGGTCTCTGTTGTTATGCAACGGCGTACAGCAAGGTGTTAAATTATATCATTAGGCTCGCTGTGTATAATTTAATTAAAATGGCCAAAGGCTCGTGTTCTTCTGTCTCTTGTTGTCATTGTTATTGTTGTTGTTGCTGTTATTGTTATTATTGTAGTTGTTGTTGTCGCTGTGTGTTGGCATTGTTATTAAAATTTAATTAAAACGCTATCAAAAGCAACAGTTTGTTGAGCCACCATGTCTGCCGCACTGTCTGGCAAAACTGTTAACGCCAAATTGATTGCCCAGCCACATGGCAATAACTTTAATACAACCACAAGCACACACACATCCATACACACCCACTTTTCGCCCATTAAATCAAACACTCAGAGATAGTTGAAGTCCAACAAGTCGAAAACGCGAGTGCGCAGTCATTTAACTTTGACATCCTTGGGTTTCATTAAATGTACATTCAAACACGCACAAATGCGCAACAACACACACACACTCTGACACAAACACACACAACACACCCACTCAACCCCACGCACATCCGCTTTTCTACTCGAAACGCAACATGAAGGAGTCCGAACCCCGGAACAGTTTAATTAATGTCAAGCATTAAGTGTGATTTTGCCAAGCTGCCAAAGCATCTGAGCGCAGCTTAGGTTACATTTTTACAGTAATTACACTTTGAAGGGCTAGTGATTACGTTCAACTAAAACAGTAAACAGGCAACTAGTTACAGACTAGTCCCTCGCCTAAACCCACAACTGTAATTTAGTCCCGTCTTTAATACAATTCAAAAGTTGTGTTAGAGGCTAAAAAAGTACTTTTAGCGACAAGAAAATGCAGAGAGTTTAAATCAATGAATTAAATTTTACAAGAAACAGAATTGACTTAAGAAGTTAAAAAATACATCAAGACTAAAGGTTTGAGAATATATTCAATATATTTTATTGAAACGCATGTCAACGCAACGAATAGAAAATAATGGGTAAAAAACAACGAGTAAAATTAAACGAGTTAAATTTAGAAGATTTGGAAACACTGTGTACAAATTACTTACGAGTGCGAAATAACGAGTATAAACTTACGAGTAAAAACCGACGAGAACAGAGCAACACTTTTAAAATTTGATTACTAAAGCTAACACGTACCTCCGACGAGTAGGAAGTAACGAGTAAGAACTAACGTGAAATAATGTTGTAAGCTAGATACTTGTCAGACATAAAAACATAGCAATTAACTTTGAGAAATAATGTGTAGTAAAAGCTTTGTATACGTCCACTTTTATGATTTAATTTAAAGAGAACTGAGCACAACACTAATTGACCGCAATTGAATCGTTGAATATGATTAAAATAATCTTGCTTAACCCAAGTACTTGATTCTGTTTACACTAACTACTGACACTCGTTGGCAAGTCAAAGGCAATTTACTTATATACAACTCTTCTGTTGTTTGCCAAGAAATCCAAGAAATGGCAAAGCAGCTCAGGCAAAACGACAAAGGCCCAGAAGAAGCGCACACGCAACATTTTAAACATTTTCATTTAAAATAACTCTTAGCCTTAATTTGTGCAATTCATCAGCGAAAGAAAGCAAAAGAAGGCCAAAACAGCGGCCGGCCAAGAGCCAGAACCAGAGGAAGAATGGCTTAAGAACTTCCGTTTCCACTGGCAAACGATCAACGAAATAATGACAGCAAAAAATGCTAGAATGAGGCAACTGGAATGCAGCCAATGTATGGGAGGGCGCCGCATGCAATTGCAAACAATTAACAAATATGTTCTGACCATGGCCAGAAACACGCACGACTGCTGCGCCTGCCTCTGGCTGGGGGATTGGCATCGGAATTGCAATTGGCCGACTGTCTGCTCTCCCGGCTGTATTGTCTGTCTGTTAATTTGTCCGTCTGGCTGTCTCATCAAATGAAAATTGCTGCCAATGCCGGTGCCTGAGCATGAGCCTGAGCCTGAGCCTACAACGATCAAACATTGGCAACCGAATCCATTGGCAACGTCTTCTGCTCAATTGCTAACTCATTCATCATTTTTAATTATGACAATTGCCTGCTCCTGGTCGGAGCCCTAAGCCTGGGAAATGCGCGGCAGAAAAGAAAAGCTTGAGAAAATCATGCAGTTCACGTGCCTATTAGCTGTTAATGGCATTTGCCCACAGTTGAGTGGGGCCTCAGGGCCGATGGATTTTTATGGCAGTTGTTGCCGAATTGGGAACCTGGATTTATTGCCTGCCCAACAGGTTGTTTGACGCCCAATAACATTTAATGCGTTGCCTTAATTAAGTTGCCAGTTATTGGTTCGAAACGAATTCGTTTTCTTGCCACTTGCTGTAATCGCAATCTGACAGAAGTGCCCACGTCTTAATTTCACTCGTATTTCCATTAAAGTTCTCCAAAGGCTATGTTCCAAGCTTCCTGAAATACCTCTTTGCATATTTTCAACTGGCATAATTTTCATCAATTTTTTTTTACGTAAATAGCCGCCAAGTGCTTATTAAATACCTATCCTTTATTCGTATACTGTCATAGCTCTGTCAAAAATAGTGCGAATTTTTATATTCAAGAGCTTTTCTGACATTTGAAGAACTTTCAAAATATTTAATTATATTTCCTCTGGTTAGCTGCAACCACCCTTAACTTTCTCCTCCTAACTATTAGCTCTTCGTCAAATTGAAGCAGGACTCGCCTTTGAAAGACAGACAGGCAGATCTCAGCTAATCTCTTAATCAGGCAAACGTAATAACTCATGGCTGGGCGCAGTGAAGCCTCATAAAATAATAATGAGTGTTCTTATCGGAAGCAAACCGAAACTAGGGTATGCCGCATTTGAGCAGATGGCAAGCACTTTACATAAATATATATATATATATAAATGTTTATAAATATATTTGTGCTACCAATTACATAAATATGCCACGCGGGGAGCGGCAGCAAAGCTAATTAAATCAAATCGCATATAAATTAATAATTATAATTATAATTATGATTGTTTTAAGTGGCAGCGCAGCGGAAGGCAATGCAAAATGAATGCTGAATGGCATTTAAATGTGAATTTAATTGATGTACAATAGTCGTATTATGCAAATAATTACCCCTATTTTGCATAATATCGCATTTTCTGCTCTCTTGTCCAAATCTCATTTACATGACAGCTGGCGAGCGCGGCGTATGCGTAATATTTATGTTCTTTTAGCCGTTCGCTGCTTCGTCGGAATTTAATATCCAACACGTGCTTCTCACAAATAATTACTTCAGCATTACTTAAATTTTCAACGCACTGTCCTTTGCATTGTCCTGTGCGGTTTTGAGGTGTGGCACTGGCCTAGGGGACAGTTGGGCCAGTTGGGGCTTGCCGCAATCGCTGCCCCATTCTGTCAGCCTTGACAAACGTGCAGGCCCAGACTTGAGGCACGTATGCAAACATGCCAGCAGGCAATCTGCCAGGGCCGAGACAAAGCCAGTGATGAGATCATACTGTTACTTTTCAAAACTGTGACTCTCTGTCACGGTAGCTATAATAAGAATGAGTAACTGTGATTGAGCTACGGCAAGACTATAATTGAAAATGAAAATTGACAAGGGTGTAATTAAGTTGTCTTCATTAAGTTGAGCTGTCTCCCAAAGCAGCGTTCTACATTCCACGTACAGCGCTCCCAACGAAATATTGAGTTGCTTCAAGCACATAAAAATCCTCGCTGCACATCAATCAATTACTAGCTTAACACTTGCCCAACACTGAACCCAGTGCAGCACAACACTGAAACGTAATTCACAGTTCCTGCCATAATTGAATGCCCCTCGAAATATTTGCGACCTATAACACGTTTGCTGATTTTTTTTTTTTGTGCATTTCAGCTCGACACTCGTCAGTCCGAGCGCATCAATCAAGCTGTAGACGTGGGTGCGCATGCTGGTCGTCTAGCGGATCGCCCCCACAATCCCTTGCCCCTAGTCCCAGCCAAATGTATGCCGGTCGCGCCACGCAATTTGCCAAAACCATCAGCAGCATGGCCTGCAGCATACAGAAGCAGCCCTCGCAGCCAGGACCGCCGACAGCCATGACCATGACGGCAACTGGCGTGGGCATGGCTGGTGTTTCTGGAGGCGGCGGTGCCAGCGGTGCAGGCACTGTGCCCTCCACGCCCAAGTCCAACAAGGCAGCCGCACAGCCGCGTGGCTCGCTGCCAACGGATGTGCATCAGCCGCCGCTGGAATTCCAATGGCCGCCGCCGCTGCCTGTGTCCAGTCACACCAGCAATTTGCGTCTGAACATGATGAACCAGGATCCCAAGGATCTGCACACGGCACGCGCCATAATTGAGGAGCTGCGCTCCAAGGTGCGCTTCCAGACGGAGCACATTATGAAGTGGCGCAAGGCCTACGCCATGCAGGTGAGTGGCACAGAGACCATATCGATGGGGGCAAGACACTTCAAATATTCCGTATTTCGAGTATTATATTGCTTTGCACACAGTCCGCCTGGCCATCCGTTCGTCTGAATTCTTTTTACTTGCGTTAGACACAGTTTAAAATGCTTTGGTCACGCCCACCAAGCTGCTAAAGCCATTAATTGGCCACTCCAAATTCTGTATCTTTTCCAGGCACAGTTTGAAAATAACTACCTTTGAGGATTATCGCCTTAGAATCACCTAGCTGTTAATATAAGACATCTTTTAACAAAAAATGTTGAGCAACATTTTTATTCAAAATTATATGAATGTTTTCATAGTTTTCCAAATTATTACATATTCGTATGTATTGTAAAATAATTTTAAATATTTACATTAAAAAATATTCCAATTTGGCTTAAAAAATCGCGATTCGTGGATTATATAAGGTGTGCATGCTGCCAATTCTTTTTTTTTTGGTTTTTTGTCCGCTGTAGGGATAGAGTTTGTTTTTATTTTAAATTGACGGACTTTTTGTTCGAGCAAGTGGGCGAAAGGAAAGGAGCTCTAAAAACATGACACAACTAAGGAGGAAGATGTACACCGCAGGCTGCTGTTCGTTAGCAGATCTTTCACTGTATATCCGCATCTCTCATTGCATTAGGTACAGCAACATTATCGCTATCAGAAGGAGAAATCGGATCAGATGAATTCGCTGACATCGCAGCTGCTGCTGCTGGAGTCGCGGCTAAAGCGCAAGCAGAAGCAGATTGCGAGCCTGTTAAGCCATCGCGAGCTGACCATACAGCGACAGCAGAAGATCATTGATACACTGTCGACACGTCTGGTGGATCATGGACTGGAGAGCATTGAGGCGAGCTACGCCAATGAGCTGGACTCTCTGAACGACTCAGACTCGGCGGTGGTGCTGGAGGACATTGACTCGGACAGCAACATGACGCTGGGCACGCGCCGCAGAAGCAGTGGTGGCGGGTTGGGCGGTGTTCTGGGCAGTGATGGGATTACCATTGTGCGGTCCATATCCGATGCCATTGAGACAAATCTGAATAAGTATGGCGCCGCCAGGCGCAACAATTGCTATCTGCGTCGTCCGGACATACTGGAGACTGTGTACTCCGTGGAGGAGGATCCGGAGCCCACCACAGATGTGGCCGAGAAGCGCGACAAGTTCAAGAATCGATCGGACAAGGCGCTCAGCTCTAGCTCCACCGAGGGACAAATCGATGCAACGGCGCCCGCCTCATCGGGCACGCCCAGTGCGCCGGAGAAAGCCAAAGACACGTGTATGGCAGCGGCCATGGCCGTGCCGCGTCGCCAATTGGGCGCACTGAAACGCTCGCCCAGCCACGACGCGCCATGCACCACGCTGAGCGTCAAAGTGCCCCAGCTGCAGCCGCCCACATCCGCGGATCAGCTCAACGGCAAATCGCAGGTGACCACCTATAATCGGGTCATGTCCAATCATCGGTCCGTGACCAAGCCGAAGGATGTCAAGTACAAGCGCATCAACAAGGCCAAGTCCAAGAGTCTCGAGGAGCTGCGTGGCCGGCTCAAGAATCTAGTGGAGCGACCTGGTCTCGATGCCGGATACACAGCCGGCATGATGCCGCAGACGGCCCAATCGTATGCGTGACACACGCCGCCGCCAGGCGACGCCGAGCAGCTCGTCGAGATGCCGCCCACGCCGCCAGAGGAAACAGCAGCTGCTGCCGCCAAGGCAAGTTTGTCCGCGGGAAACACGCCCGACCAGACGACCCCGCAGCGGCACAGCTGTCCCAAGCGTTCGTTGACGCTGCCTCGCATCCTGGTGCCGCAATCGATGCAAGGTACATCGCATTCCGGCAGTGGAAGCAGTGGCGGGGGCGGCACTGGGCGTGGCGGTTTCTAGCAATTAAAGAAATTTTTCATACGCAATTGTGATAAAAAGTAAAATTGTTCTCTTGCATCTCTCTCGCGCACTCGCTCTCTCGCTCTTACTTAACATACACTGGTGCACTCAGAGAAAAACGGTAGAATCTTTGTCATAATATCAAGTTCTTAAACTATGCATGAAATACATGATTCAAGAACTTATTTTTTAATCGGAAATACAGTACATTATCTAGAGCATTGTAAGCTTCCATCCAGAAAGTTTTTAAGCAAACAAAAATTACATGAAATATTAAGCACAAAACGACAATGTTTTTCTCTGAGTGTAGTCTCTTTTGTAACATTTGTTTCCTGCGCTGTTTCTCTGAGCTCAGATACACGGCATTTAATTTAATTTAGTTCTATGTTAACGTTTATGTTAAAGTGACTCTTATATAATATATAATTTGACATGAATAAATACATTACAAAGCATACACAATTTCACTGTTTATTATTTATTTATGACACTTACTCCACAAAAAGCGTATGAGAAATTTCCACTTAATATGATAAAATTGTAGTTGAACTACAAATCGAAAAGGGTCTGTGACACGTTTGCGTTTTTTCGAGGACAATATGAGAAGCCGACAAGTTCAAAGTGATTGTATACGGAGGTGGGTATTCAAACATACTTAAGCATAATGAAAGGTATCTGGGTGAAATAATTAAGTAGGCTAGAAAATTTACATATATTTAATATGGCTTCACTTGTACATAAATTGGCCACAGCCAGCCATTGCTGTCATAACTTCTTCAAAAACCAAAAAACAAAAGACATATTGGATAAATGAATTTTCAGTAAATATACATGTAATTAGTTCATATAACAAAACCAAGAATTGCATAGCATCTTCGGGCAGCCGAAGATTAAATACCCTTGCAAAAGTATAATTGATTATTTTATTATAGCTATACAATATATTAGTCCGATGTTGAAAATATGAACCAGCCAAGATAAGTCTGTTTTGCAATATTATTTGAATTCCATACATAGCCTTTATACAACAAAAAGCCGGATCTATGCTACTTTTTATAATAATCTTTATCCTGATAAAGCGAGAACTCTACTCTAATGCGTCGTAATTTATGTGATAAATTTCTAAAATCCTCTGCAAGGGTAAATAGGCAACACTTTTGTAAAAAGAGTTTTTAAGACTAATTTAAACTTGCTTTCTTTCTTTTATTATATTTCCTTAAATACTCCCTTCTCATTGGCAAAGCTATAAAATTTACTTTTTTTTTAAAAAATAAACTCTTAGTTGTAAGCTCTACTCCATGGACTGTCTTCTAGATAACAGAATTTAAGTGCAAGAAAGCTGTACGTGTAACTAACTGAATAAAATATATATATGGAACATATATTTTCTTACTTCAATTTGCAGCTAACAATTTTTACAAATTTAAGAAGCTTAAATTAGTTTTTAAAAAATATTAACTTATTAGATGAGTATATAGCTTAATGTAGTATATATAGCTTAAGAATAACTAATTAGATATCGAGAAGTTTATTTTTGCGTTGAATTTTTGAAATTATTTTAAAAAATTGTTAATAACTTTGAAGCCGTGTGCTTTAAAAAAGTTAAAACGTCATGTGTACCTTGCAGCGATTAAGCATATTCAATAATATATAACTATATATACTGTATGTGTATGTGTTAGGAGTTTTAAGTGTAAGTCAGATATATTATACGAACATAGATATACATATATATATATAAGAGCCTCGAATATCCATTAACATGGCTGCAACAAATCTCAACTAAAAACAACTCAAAGTACAATGCTCAAGCGGCGTCAATATCTAAGTATTTCTAAATAGACCGATATATGCATATATATATATATGGTATGTTACCCCAGTTTCAAACAAGAAAAAGTACCTAAAACATTGTTATTGATGTTGTACCTAAGATAAACCGTTTCACATTTTTAAAGGGTATTATGCAATCAATTGAACTACTTGTACAATATGCAACATCTTAAATACGTAATCTCAATGTCAGTTGAATTCGATTTAAGCAATCAAATCAATTCCCCGGTCAATTTAGCACTCGAATTCAAATTGTTAATCAGTTTGTCAAGTCGAGTACATAAACATAAGCATTTTGAATGTACTCAATGTACTCAGATGCGTAAAGCGTATTATTCTGAAAATAAGCTAAGTGTTTACAATAATTGTAAATCTATGGTTAAACATAAATATTGTAGTGGAATATATGTATTTATATAGCTTTAAGATTCGCGTAGGCTTATTACTTTAAATTATATCAGTTACAATATATATGTGTATTTATATTTATATGCCAAAGAATTCAGACCTTAGTATGGATAACTTTAAATTAGATTTAAATATGCATTTTGTATTGGATATCTTTCTAAGAAGCTCACGCTTGTTATATCACTTAAAACTTCTATAATTTTTCGCATTGCTGAAAAAATAGCTCTTAATATTTTAACTTATTTGCTTTTATTTTCTGCAAAAGTGTGCAGTTAATGCATTTTTTGTTTGGGATTATTAATAGAATAAGAGTTATTCGTACAAAATATTCTCCACTTCTGTGCTAACTGATGAATAGATTGTAAAGTAAAATGTAACTTAAAGAAACCTAACATAATAATCGAAATGAGCAAGCCATTTGGTGCACAATTTATTCATTAACTTATATATTATAGTTAATAAGTGTATATAACATATATAGCATAAAAACCAAACGTATATATATAAATATATATACAACAAAGCTGCACTTATTTCTTTTTCTAGTTAGCTTTATTAACTAATTACCTATTTGTGATAAGTATAACCCAAATTTATAGCAAATACTTTTGAAATTTTGCTCATTTTATAAATTTGAATTATTATGTAAAATTTTCTTTAATTTCTGGCTTTGCTGAAATGCTTAATAAAGCTAAACTTAACTAACACACCCACACTACATTTCTAATAATTGATGGGTAAGAGAAGCTGTTTTCGCTGAGCCGCAGATTAAATACACTTACAACAGCTCTGCGATATATTTTTATTTCCGTTGGAGCTATACTTATACCCTGAACCCATTAAAAATGGGTAACAAAATAACAGCAGCATCAATAGCCGAGTCGACACGACACGAAAGATTTCATACCATATACCATACCAACTCATTGGCTGTTATTATGGATATATATACTTTATGAAGTCTTCTTGATGGGATACGCATTTCGTTACAAAATATATATACCTACTGTAAGGGTATAAAGACTGACACTGACTAAGCTTACTTCCCAGCTCCTCAGTTTCTCAGTGTCAAGCTTAAGGCAAACATGAACGGCAGCATCTCAATCTCTCAGTGGCTGGCTCAGCTTATCTGCGTTGGCCTTATCAGTCTGGTAAGTCGAGTCGCATTCCAAGTGTTACCTAAATAATAAAACATTTCATTATTTTCAGAGCACAGGCGATGCGAGTGCGGGCAGCACAGTTTCCTTGACCGTCAAGGAGATTGAACGGCTTTACAATGAGGTGTTGCAGACCAGCTTGGATGACGCCCGGACAAAACTGAGCCATTTAAACGACAGCAATGCTATTGATAAACAATATTTTGATGAGCTCGACAAGATTGTGGGCACGGAGAGTTACTATAGCAGCGCATACTTTATATTTGCCCTGATCAATAGCTCCCTGTTCGATCGATCAGAACCTGACCAACTGCTGCTGCAGGTGCTGCCGGGCGAGAAGATCTGTATACGAAACTTTTTTGTCAAAGTTCGATTGGAATTGCTGAAATACTTTGCAACCAGAGAACAGACCAAAGTCGAACTAATACGAAATGTGTCGCGCTGGCAACAGGCAACTGAAAATAGTATCGTGCTGGCCTTCTTGGAGTTTCCACAAAAACTGCAAGATCAGGTGCCAGAGCTACAGTTGATGGACTATATGCGGCAGGCAAGCGGCTTAGTAGAGGGCATTGCACAAGCATTACAAGCGACTCTACCATAATAACCATAGAATATAGGAAATGTTTTTTTTTTAACTACCTACAAAGTTTCTATCCTATATCATAAAGTATATATATTCCTAATCAACAGCCGAGTTGTTATAATTTGTCTGTGTTTGCTTTGAAGATCAAACTTGACGTCGTTTTTTTTGCTGCAGCTGGAGTCGGAGTTGCACAGATTGGACCTCTATATAATATAATTTCCTTAGGCACAATCGGTCAAATGTAAAAATCTTGTATTTTCCTAACATATTACTAACATCTTATCAGGCGCTGTTTACAATATAATATTGCTTATACTAAAATACTCGCTCATTGTCTTAAGCACGACAGATCGCCAGTGAAATAATAATTAATATATATATATATATATTGCTTCTATAAGTACAATCTGCCGGAAATCAAATTTATATATAAAAGCAAAAACAAAATGTAGGAAAAGCATTATATAAACAACATATAGAACAGTATTTATAAAATCTTTCCTGTATATTTAAAAATTAATACGTTGGGATAAGTCCAATTTACAGTTTTATTTCCCAGCTATTATATTTAAGTATAGCCCTGATCGTGTGAATCTTGTTGTCTATTATAGTAACATTTTATGACTTAACTATAGCTAAATACGGTATATATGTTTATTATTTGAATTATTTGTAGAGTCCCAGCTCTATTGGTTAACTAACTTATAGACCTCTGTATTTACCAGCCTCAGCATGCTGTCGTATTGCTGCAGCACTTGCCTTACCGCCCGCAATGTGGGCGTCAGTAGCTCCTCCTCGTTTATCTTGCCTACGTAGCTAATCTCTAGGGTCTCCAGTTGAGCGCGCAGATCACTGTAGCCGCGCCTCAGGGATCGCAAATGGCGCTGCACCAGCCGCTGGGTGCAGCGACTGCCGCGTGGGCGACACTGTTCCACGAATGCCATAAATTTCAGACCCAGTTGCTCCAGGGACTGGGCCCACAAGAGAATATCCTCATTAAATTGCTTCTCTATAAGCTGCTGCTCATCCTGCTGTTGCTGTCTCAGTAGCTTACGCAACTCCTGAAAACTCTCCCGACCAGGCAGCGCAACTGACATCTATTATAATGCTGAGAAATTGGTATTTATTAGATTTAAGAAGCGTGTCATATAACATACGCCCAGCAGCAGGAGAACTATGATGAGAAATCGAGCATTGAACATTTTATTCACTAAACGTTCTTATCACGCCAAGCGAATTGAATAAACTGATTATAGACTGCCAGATCCCAGAGATCCCACGATTAATAGCCCGAACCGTACATTGTTTGCGTCTATAAGAGGCAAGTGCAGCAGGAATAGAACAACACAGCATTCTAAAGTTGCAACCATGTGGCGTCTTGTGCTTCTCCTTTCGATCCTGCAGTCAGCGGTAAGCTAAGTGGATAATGTTATAAAATAAAAAGCGTACGGAACACATTCTATTGGGCAATACAAATTTAATTATTTAAAGTAAAATACCTGCATTTGGCATTGATATATAATCGGATTATTAACAAACTTTTGAATCCCTATTATTTATTAATACATATATTTTCAAAATTTGATGCGCTTATCATCGTGCGGGACAGAAAAGCCCATCTTCACGACAAAATCAACAAGCTTTGTTGCTATTTAAAGAAACAGCTTTGCTTTTGTGTAAGCAACATTTTAAATTGCAAAACATAACAAAAAAATGGTGGGCTTCCCGTCCGTATTTGTTTATCTGAAACTGAAAACCCAACCAATTGAACTGCCCATGAAGACTTTCTCTGCGTCTAAATATCTGTTTTCGGTAAAACTGAAAAATTTCCACAATTCTTACATAGTACACCAGTCCAATCACACCCTGCGAGAAGCTTCATACCGTGATGGTTCTGGAGATCACTGCATTCACCAAGAAGGCCCTAAACGAGGGCGTTGAGTTGCTGCAGCGTGTTATCGATAATGCGGAGCTGTTGGAATTAAGTGATATCGATCAAATTACGTTGGCACAGTTTGCAGAGTTTATAGAAAGTAGAAGACATGCCGTTGATTCTGAAGAATTGGAGGATTTGCTAGAAGAGCTAGTGGAGCTTCTCGATATGGAGGATGTTAGCCAGGAACTGGATGAATGTGAGAATCCTGTTGCCAAGCTATTGCGTCAATATGGCTTCGACACGTTTGAGAAAAATCTGGAGAAGCAGCTGCGTACCTTTATCGAACGAACTGAATACCATGTCGAGGCCTATCTAAAAAGACAAAACGCCAAGGACTCGGAGTTGCCAACATGGTTTACTGAATTCCAAAACGAAAACGATATTGAGAGCAAATATTTAATGTTTCTGGAGGTTTTGGAACATATAGAGTGTTAGGCTAGCTTTACGTTCTATCTATCTCTGTAATTTGTATTACACACACAGAAGTATTTAATATGTACTTTAAAGCTTATAAAAAAGGTCTCTATTTTGATTTTGAATGATTTCAAACTAAATTAAGTACACAATACTTTAGCAAGAAAAGTTCTAAATTATTAGATTGATTAAAATAAGAATTTCGCTTTCCGGCCTCAGTCGGATTTTCTGAACGTTTATAATTGACATAAAAACAAAATGTTTAGTTCATTCCTGCAGTAAATTAAGTATTCTACGTACTTAAATCAAAACATATGTTATTATTTGCGTTTCATTCGCGATTATCATTTATGGATTTTGACCTTGTTGTTGTATTAAAAAATGCGAATCTGATTTATAATTCCTATCAGCTAGGCTATCTAACTACGTATTGATCTGTGACTGTTTTTTACTCTGAGTATTTCAATAGTTTCAAAAAGGTTGGAAATCTATTTTTTAAAATTTCGAGTAGTCATGCCATGTCCCAAGCGAGAGTCGAAAACACTTTGCTGAATTTGCGGCGGCCCCATGCCATCTGAGTTAAAGCTATACGATTCCGAGCGATAAAAATTATTGGAAGAGCCACCACCGAAGCCAGGGCCGCCGAAGGTAGAGAATCCAGGATTCGTTGGTATGAACGGAGGAGTCTATTTAAAAATGATATGAATACTGTATTTAAATTGGCACTGCTTAACATAAGGATTTAAGATACATACCGATTGAATGCTCAGAGGCATTGAACTGAAGCGTGACCCACTGTAATCACCGTCACCAAAACCCGCAGCACCAAAACCAGGAGGACCACTAATGCGACGGCCACCGACAAATGGTCCAACGTTCGAACTAAATGAAGTGTCTATGTTTGTCTGCGAAAAAAAGATATGTTTAATTCGTATGCAAGGTACTCATTAGATAGAAAATATTACTATCTCAGTCGGTATATCTCAGAGACTATAGGTTTTCTCTATTTAAATTAACGGTCAAGGTCATATTTAAAATTAAAATAAATAAATAAAAATTCGTAAATCTTTAACGTTTGGGCGACCGGGAAAAACACTGAAGTTATTAAAGAATAGATTTTCAATAGTTTTAGGCTGTGGTGGGGCAAGATGAAGAACTGTATATAGTCGAACAATTTGAACTATGTTACTTTTGTTATTGTTACAGACAGCATACCGAGCGGAATTGACTGGAAGGGATGGGAATGCGTGTGGGAAAATTGAAACGACGTGGATCGGGAAACCTCGGAGTGGTTGGCCACGTTTCATCTGCGTAATCTTCTTCCTGGGAAGCGGGATCCGTCAAGACTTGCGCCTTTGCCTTTGTGTGCTGAAAAGACCAAGCATGTAAGTGGTAAATATAAGCATATACTATATAATCAGTACGATAGGTTGTTATAAAATAGAACACACCACTGAGAAAGTATCATCAAAGTTTGTACGCTGTGGTACTGTTGTTGTATTACGATCAGTATTTGAGGAATCCTCTAGAGGCTTAAACTGATCCGATGGAATGTTGCGTGTATCTCTTTTAATGCGTACCTAATGAACAAATCGAACGAGATCTTATAGAAAAGAATATCAATAAGCACACCAAAATGCTTACCCGCTCCAATGAAGCACTTTGGCAGAACTGCAAAGAACACGGATATGGAAATAAACAGGCATAATTAATACTACGGCAGGTAACTTACCGCCAGGCCAATTAGCAGACAGCCGAGGAGGCTGATCACATGAAGCAACTGAAGCGACATTTCCGAAACGTCTCGATCTCTAAGCAGCTGGCAGCAATATGACTAGCGCGATTAGGAGGCAGCTTCAGATTCTATGGAAATGACTAACACGTTTGACTGGAATCGCACGAGGTGTGAGAATCGGCTCCCGGGGTTATCGGCATTGCAGGCGGGCAAAACCACGACTTGTAATGAATGTACTTTAAATACTATATAGCACGCACGCACACTTCATAATGATACTTTTCTATGCATCTTCATTAAATAATACCCTGGCCGCTGGTATTTTGATTTCAATGCAAAATGTGCTCTTATATATTCTCAGTCAAAGCATCAAAACGCTCTGTCTGTTTCTATATAAATATCTCTTGTAATTTTTTTACATACGGGATTGGATCAGTTGTAGCTGTCATAGGAACAAATAGTATATAAAATTGTGTGTCGTTTTCGATATCTGGACGAACTTTCCAATTAAGAGCCTTACAAGTATTTAATATTCGGCAAGAGTATTTAATATTCGGCAATGCGAAGATATCTTTTTACATTATTTTAAATTTATTGTACACGATTGCTTGCAATCAAGCTAGCCTAATAACTCTTAGATTAGTTTGACTAGCCGCCGTAGCCGTAGGGAGAGCCGTAGCCGCGTGCCGGGCTTGCATAGGGGTAACTGGGCACCAGTGGACGCCGCTGGATCACATAGACCGGCGGGTAACCATAGCTGGGATGCTCTGCAGGCAGCTTGGGGCCCTGCTCCGTTGACTGTTCCATGCTCTTTGGGGACTCATCCGCCTCGGCGGGTTTCTCAGCGCTGTCGCTGTCGCTGTTGCCGTAGACTAGACCACGTGCAAAGCCTGGGTACTGAGGTACACGTCCAGGCTGATGGAAAACCGGAGCGCCATAGGGAGAGTAGGGTGACCGCAGGATCGGGTAGGGATAAGGATAGCCCTGATAGCTAGGTACGCCGGGTTCAGGCTTAGTGGAGCTCTCCGAAGTGGCCTTGGGCTCAGGATGAGGATATGGATAAGGATAGGGATAGGGATATGGATGCGCATATGGGTGTGGATAAGCCAGTGGATGCATAGGAGGCAAGCCTGCTTTCTTTTGAGGCTCAGTGGTTGTTGTTGTTGTTGTCGTTGTGGGAGATGTGCTCTCAATGGGTTGAATTGTAGTCTCCGGAAGAGCAGTTCCTTTGTTAATTATGGCTAAGCTTTCATCCAATTTCTTGATTCCATCATCGGGACGTGCGGTTGCTTTTTCATCAAGCTCCAGCTCAGGCAGAGTCGTTGTTGTTGAGTGTGGCAAGTGCACATCGTCAAGCGTTTCCTCATCACTATGGACCGCATTGTCATTGGCCCAACTCTGCGTGCAGCTGAGCGCCAATAGCTGCGCAAAAGTAAGCTCCAGTCAGTCGCTGTGTTCATGGAAGAAGTAGTAAGACTTACCTGGCTGATTAGCAATAGCTTGATATGCATATTAGATGATCTCAACCCAAGTGTTAGATGCCAACTGTTGGCCGGAACAGAGCTGGCGCTGGCTTTTTATAGTCCCCCCATCGCTCATCGCCCACAATTTTATTAAACAGAGGGCAGACCAGACAATTAAAAGATTATTTTCAATCACACTGTGATTCAAAGAACCTGTATAAATGTGTACCAGAACAGAATAAAAATACTGGTTAAACACTCGATAGCGTAATTGTGATTTGCAACTTTTCAATTAATAGATCATTTTTCTTTACATTGGCTTTCGAATCGGTTTGAGAGCAACAACCCACACCATAGAGATATGTGGGTTCCGAATTGGTGTTGCACAGTGTAATTAATCTATATAGCAATAGATTTTAGTAAGACGTACAGCACGGCAAAAGGTATTGTGCCTATTGGGGCATGGGCCGCTGGGAATTGCCCGTTCAGAACTTTATCAAATCAGGAACCGCAGCATTGGCTGTGCCCATAAAATCAGGCAGCTGCTCGAATCAATTACATGCGTGGAACCCCAATGGATCCGCTATAAAGGGAGAAAAACCCATCGGTGTTTGGTTTTTTCAAGGGCAACCAACAGAGCGTTAACATGTCCAGCATCAAGCCGGTAAGATGTCTCTACTTGCTGTAGGGTCTAGAATCGAAAGAATTTGTCTTAAAACAGTTCACGGCTCTTGTCCTTGTTCCTTACAGCATGCCATGCTCGTGTTGCTGGCTGCAGTAGCTGCAGTGGACACAGAAGTAACATATCTCTTTCATCAATGGAAGGTGTCCACGGCACCACCACGGCTTTCCACGAGGACGCCCCAAACGATTTTACAGCCGCAAATTTCAGCACGAAACAACCCAGCCACGATTCAGGCAACACCCCCAACACCAGAAACTGTGAACGACAAGGAAGATACAATGATCTTTAATGGATTGACCACGGCATACACGCTGCCACCAAAAAAAAAACCTAAGCGAGACGAAGTCGGACCGGATGAGGATCGAATGCTGGAACAAGATTCAAATACAGAACCAACGACAGATTACGTACCTGAAACAAGTATCTTGCATGGCATTGGGACCACTTCAGCAAAACCGACCATCTCGACGAGCGGAACCACCAAATTAATAGATCTGGTCACACTTGAACCCACGGAGAATGGCGGCTATCCGTTTGCGAAGCCGGGAAAACACAAGCATGGCCTCCGGCATGTCAAGGCGCACGATGGCTTCCACAATCTAAAGCGCGAGCCTCAATGGGCGCACTGGAACGATAAATTTAAAACGACAGAAAAACCTGCCAAAATCAATTAGAATTACAATTAAAAACATATTAAAAACACCCTGTATACGGCTATTGGGGCGTGCAATTCTTGACTTTCTGTGCCCAAAACAAATGCAATTAGTTCGGCACAAGCTCAGATCTATGGGCACAGCAGCAGTTGGGGAGCGTAGAAGAGAGTGCTGCACACTGTATGAGTTTCATAATATCAAGTGCGTGCCGAGCTATACAAAAAAATAGCATCATAAAACAAATTAACTATATAAAATATTAATAATTAACAAGGTTGCGTGCATTGCCTGAGATCTTCATGCACGATTACAGCTATGACTTAATAAATGCAAACAAATAAATATTCTCGATATTCGAAGAATAGTTTCCACGCCTTATACATGCATAAATAATTACATTTATTAAATTATTTAATTTTCATAAGCCTGCAACACTTTGGCCTAACGCCAACAGGTGGCTTCTAGCCTTGAGCTTGAATAAATAAACTTTCCTTTTCTTTTAACTCCATTTGCACACGCTGCATCATATCTGGCACTATGCCTTAATAAATGCAAAGAAATATTCAACCTATTTAATAAGCATAAAAGTTTTCCATGCTTAACATAAATCAATTTATATATTTATATATTATTTATATGCTTGTTAATTTCCAGGAACAGCCGAAGCTTTGTTTTAATGCCAACAGGTGGCTCGTGGTGCTAAGCGCATAGTATAAGCCTTGGCCTTAAGGTGGCGCTTTGAGCTCTGTGTAACCGAGAAGCTTTAAGCTTTGGTTAGAGAGTGCATTGTTTTCATCAAGCGCAACCAACTTCACGTAGCTTCAAAAATTTCCGCGTATATAAATAGTGAAACATAGTGAGCGAAATATTCTTAATTAATACAACAATAAGAAACGCATTAGTTACGCGCAGTGCTTTGCCAAGTTACCTGTCACCGGATCTAATCAAAGCTCGCTTTATCAGCCCAAAGTTCGCTCACGTCACATGCGGCCGCACATTCTGCATCGGCCGCCGCACGAAGTCTAACTGTAAATGCGAAATGGCGTAAGGCACAAAATGGATAAAAGAAAAATAACTATATATGTATTCAGTTATGCATAAGGGATGCTGCTGCTGTTCCTATACATCGTAATACTTATATATGTATATAAATATGGAAAGGGTCGCAGCCAGGTGAGTTTTCCTCAAGTATCGTAGAAAAAACGTCGCAAGTGTTTTTGGGTTTGGCAGCGGCCATTATTTTAATTTCAACTATTATTTTGCTTGTGGCCACTTAAACATAGACGCCTCACTTTTCGCTTAATTACTTTACAACATGGAATTGCATTCTACGGTGGACTGCGTTTAGTTCTTCCACTTGTTGTTCTCGTAGTCCCACTTGGAGGTCAAGCCGGTCACCGGATTGATCTCCAGATCGATCATGCGCTTCAGCTGCGCCTTCTGGTGCTCCTCATCAAATGTAATGGGCAACTCATCGTAGACTGCAATAGCAATATATTATTAGGTACATCTCGCTAACTCCATGTAGTCGCTTACCGAACAGGTTCATCAGTACGGCAATCCAAATTGCCGCGGCGGTAAAGATCAGGCCCACGCCCAAATGCATCTTCCATTCGCCAGTGCTGGCTTGGACCTCGGCAATGGTCTGGCAGAAACTGGCTCGGTAGAGGGCCTTGATCTCCTGCGGGCTCAGCTTCTTCCAGTCGCCCTGCTCCTTGGTGCGCAGCGCATTGATCTCATTGTTGGGCTCGCGGAAGCGCACAGCGGGCATAGGATAATCAACACGATCTGCATAGCAGGCTGTGCCGTTCCAGCCAAAGCCCACGATTTCACGTTTGCCAATCTTGTCCAAGGTGTGAATCGAGGCAATGCTGCCTACCTGCGCATTGCGCGGCAACTGCGCGGCAAGCTGGCGGCGTAGAGCGTTGTTGATTAGTCTAAGAGCCATAGTTTCAGAGCTGCAACGATAGAGTTTACTTTTTTAGCAATGGTTCATTTCGCGAGAAGCATGTTTATGAGGGGGGGGGGGGGGGGGGGGGGGGGGGGGGGACGCATACAAGGTTATGTAACAGCTGCACGGGCTACGTGCACGATAAAATGAATATTTAATCAGTTGCAGCCTCTTCTGCAACTGCAGCTACTTATTAAGTATTATTTATACTTTTAGTACAACGCCTCCAGCGCATATATTTGCCATTTTTCATTGCTCGCGTGCGCCTTGTGGCATCTGTTGTGTAATCGGACATTTTTTCACACAATTTTCAAAGGCTTTCCTCAGAAAATGTGCAGCCGCCGCTGCACTCAGCACTCAAAATACTATTATTTTTTACAAACATTTGAAAGGCAGTCAAATAAACTGCGCAGAAGTTAACTTTTTTTATAAACTATAACACAAATTACCAAATGTGTAGACGAGCACGGCTTGTTCTGGATAGAGTTGTTATCGGTTTGTTTGGAATAAGTTCATATGAACGAATCATTGGAATTGAACCATCGCCGGCGATATATTTATTGAGTGGCACGAAAATATCGATATATTGTTCAAATCTATGATATGCGACATATCGTTGTCACGAAAATATGCATTTTGGCGCACTTTTCAAATTATTTAACTTTGCATTTCAATTTTTGAGAAGCTACGAAGTTCAAATGGAAATGAGTAAAATGCATTTATGAAATGGTTAAAGACTTACTTACACACAACCTTTTAGCTTTGCTAACTTTGCCCTTTTCAATAATATCGTCAGAGGAAGATTAATATAAACTTGCTTATGTTTTTCATAGAAAAGTCAAATGAGAGTGAAAGTAGCTGTAACTGTTTGAGTTCTAATATTTATTTATTTTTCCTTATTTTTACAGGACGCCCAATCGTTTTTTCCAGAGACTATATGAGGCAAAGAAATCAAGTGGGATATGGGGTATGTTGTGTTTTACAATATGACATAATTTGATATTTGATCACTTGCATTCGTCTTTTCTAAAATCGGTCAACATCGATTTTAAGTATATATTTTATGTACTTCTGACGGTGCTTTCACACCAAATTCCTGTAGCAGCAATATTATATAGTAGTCCGATGCTCAAAAGATTTTCCCAATTTGTGAGAAGTAGTGTAGAAAAGGTAATTGGTGATTTTGATCATGACTTCTGAAAGAATAGAAGTTCATAAAAGAACTCTATTCTATAGCAAACGTCCATATGGAAGGTTCATATATGAGATAGAATTCTGATTCGACACGACCGTTTTCTTTACAACTTGTAATAGGGTATAAAAAGTGAATCTTGAAAATCAATTATTATTTTGCAGCCCTTTAGTATGCTCTAAATTATTATTTTCCAAGCGTGTCTCAGCTGCGGGCGTTAGATGGCGCACTTTTTGAAAATTATTTGTCTTGAATTTCATTTATATTGCAGCCCTATAGTATGCTTCAAATGTTGTAGTGTCAAGTTTGTGCTGCTAAGCATTAGGTGATGCTCTTAGTCCCATAGGTGGCTCACATTTATTCAATTAATTTAACAACCCCATTTGTATACTTCTAATAATTCCGCTTGTTTCTGCTGCTGGCCATTAGATGGCGTCAGCCAATTAGGCTGTGTCCAAGTAACTCCCGTTTAAAAAGAAAAAACCATGATATTTTTATAATTTATTATTATATGTAATTTAATTTATTTGATTTTGATTTGATTTCACATCTCATAAATGTACACAGTTAAATTAGACAGAGACAGGACATATAATTGCAATATTGTATTTTATATATAAATATGTATTTTAGCTGTTAGTTTAGCTGCTGTTGTTGTTGTTGTTGTTGCTCTTCGTCTTCATCTATTTGGTTTAGACGTCATGCTTGTTAATTTTGCTATTTGTTATTTTGGGGGATTGGGGGGCTTTACGTATTTGATTTCTTGCATTTATGCTGCTGCTGTGGTTAAGCGCTGTATGGCATAATAAATTGTTTAAATAGTTATCGTTTTTATAAATATGCAATATGTTTGTAACAATATTTAATAATAATTATGCAAATAATTAAACTAAAGTGAAAGCTTTTTCCTTTAAATGTACATCTTGTAAATATTGGTAGTAGCAAAAACTTAGGGCTACATTTACAATAGGTTTTTCCGTTTTCTTTTTGTTTATCGATATTTTGTTTGGGTATAAAATGTTGATACCGTCGTAGAGTCTGTTACTTAAATGTAGTTAGGGTTGTTTTTGGTTTTCTATATACAAAAAGTGTGCTTTTTTTTTTGTTCTTTAGCAATTCTTTAACATTATATGTTGGGCTTTCTTTTCAATTTATTTTTGTCTTTGGCCTGCGCTGAGCTGACGCAAATGGTTACCAGATTTTATGAATATAGATGCATGGTATTATTATTTATGGCTTACTGATGTTGGCAATTTGCATTTTTAACAAGTGCGCTAAAAAGTGCAATTCTACATAGGAGACAACGGAAGAGTGAGAGAGAGAGAGTAAGAGAATGATAATACACTCAGAGAAATATCGTTTATAATTCTATTTTGAACGAGCTAAAACTCATACCGATCTGTTCTTTATAATTGCTGAATTTGCTTGATTTCAATATTGACGGTAAATATGCTTGATTTAAATAGCAACTATTTATAGTGCGAATTGGCAATTGAGTGATTAATGTGGTTGACTTTTGTATATTGGCGATTTGGATTTACAAACAATTAATGAATTTAAGTCTTGGCTGAATTATGCAAAGATTTCGAGTATTTAATTTACACATTTTCTCAGAGTGTAGGTTGATAGATTGTTGGTTTTGTGCAAATGGAAAACTCTTGAAACTGCTTTTGAACTCTTATGCGAAAGTAGTGCAAGAAATTTCCTTTGTGGGATGTGTGTGGGAGTGTGTGTGCGTGGTTGTGGGACAGTTTCCAAAGGCGCTCAGTTGCAACGCAAACAAAAAACAACTAATTTGGCATGTAAGAAGTTAAGATCGGGGAAGGGACAACCTACTCGGCGCCCGCCGAGCTGTCTGGTGTCACATTGGAGTCCAGGCTGGCACAGTCCGATTCCTGATCCTGTGTCTCCGAGTAGTTGGCTGCCTCCTGCAGACGCATCAGCATGTTTAGCTACAGAATTGGATGGAAATCAACACGTGTTTTTGAAAGAGTTTAGCCAAAATAGTTACCAAGGGATCCTGTTGCTCTCCATTGCTGAGGGCCACGCCCTCCAGGCCGACATCCTCGGCATTTATCTGACGCAGCGGCGGCACCGAGTCCGGCCCATAGGGCCAGGGATATGAGTTGCGTATGAAGGCCGAGGGATCGTTCCAGGCGCCACCGCGTCGCCCATAAAGCTGCACGCCCTCGCGCACCGCCTCGATCAGATAGGGCGACAGATGATAGTTCCAGATATCCGTGAACCACACCTGCGAATCCTTCAAATCCAGCGGGCAGGAGAGGAACAGGCGCGGTCCAATGGTCACATCACTGGAGCTGTGCACCTCGAGGAAGCGATTGATGTGCTGCCAAACGGACGGCAGCCAGGCGAGTACCGCGGCAAGCTCGGACTGCGCATGCTGCGTCTGCAGCTCCAATTGGAACAGGCGACGGCGTAAAAAGCGACCGAGGAATCCCTTGACTGGCTCCATGTGGTTGGCCGTGAGTACCTGTTAAGTTAGCGAATGGATAAGGTTCATCGACCAGACCTGGCTTTCAATAGATGGATAGCCTACCCAGCGGAAGTTGTGATGCAGCTGCAGATTGGTTGTGTTGCAGGTGGCCTGCGACATGGTGCCAATGATGCAGGGCAGCTTGGTGGCCGGCCCGGCGCTGAGCAGACACGAGAAGACATCCCCTAGTGCGGAGGCATGATGCAAATTGTCCAATATGATCACAGATGGCAGCTCCGAGACGCCATTCGCAATGGCTGCCTGCTCGGCAATGTGGCCCAGATATTGCCGCAGATCCTTGGAGGTCTTGTGATCCACGCTGCAAGCAAATAGGCAAACGGATTAGCAGAGGACTTGGCTAATGCTCTAAAGGAACTCACTTGAACGTGGCGATGGCCTCCGATGGATTACCACGGCCCGCGCGTGCCACCAAAAACTCGGCCAGGCGGCGCGCTAAATAGGATTTGCCCGTGCCGCTGGGGCCGCACAGGATCAAGCGTCGATGCTCCGTTAGCAAACTTATATATCGATGCACAATGCTGCGCGGAATGAGGCTATCGAAGGCCAGACTGCCGACACCCTGTAGGCATATATACAGGGTCTTCACATTGCCCACAATATAGCCGCAGGGCAGCAGCTCCGGGAAGCCCATTTCAGGGCCACGTTTCGCCTCGCCCAGATGATACGATGTAATCGAGTCTGTGTTGAGGCCCAAATTGGTGCCTGGATCAATGCGTGCCACATAATCCTTAAAGGACTTCCGCACAATATAGTCTAGATTCTGCCAGGTCGTTTTGCCCGATATGTAGGTGCAGGCAATGATAAACTCATTCGTACCAGATGCCTGACGCTCGCCCTGCTGCAGTTGCTGCCCCTGGCCCTGCTCCGCCTCGTGGCTGGCAATGATGGCGCCATTCGCATAGAAGTCATCCAGTTCGAGCAGCTCCTCGCAGTACTTGGCAAACGATTCGGGCTGGCCCAAGTAGCAGGCAATCGCTATCTTCTTGCCGTCGCACACATCAGGCAGCTCCTCGACGGTGCTGGCCATATGCACCGGGCTGCCCAGCTGTGCCGCCTCCAGCGCGGGTGGCGGTGGCGTCAGATCGATGTGTGTGTTCGGACTGAGCGGCGCTGCGCCGCACGCTGCACTGGGCGCTGGCGGCGGTGGTGGCTCCGGCGCAGGTGCCGGCGGCATGCAATCCTCCTCCAGCTCCTCGGTTAGACGTGGCGGTAGCTCCATGGGTGGCCGTGCATTGCCGTCGGCCAGTGAGTAGCGGCGCGAGGCATCCGAGCCGCCGGCGCCACCGCCCAGCGAGCCATTCGGGCTGATGGCCTGGCCCAGGCTAGCCTCGGATCCGGCAAGGGAGCGACTGGTGACCAGTTTCTGGAGACGTTCGTTATTCTGCTTGAGCGACATCATCTCGGCGCGCATCTTGTTCATCATGTCCTTGAGGCTCTCCAGCTGTGAAGCAGAGCTGAGCGCCTCCAAACGTATATCTGTAAGCACCAGATCCTTTTCTCGCAACTGCTTCTTCAGATCCTCGACCATATGCTGATCTTCCTGCTCAATAGCATCGATGGGCTTGGCATTGTCTATCAGCGTCACCGTCTTGGCCGGGCTGCTCTGCTTGCTGGACGCATTCGCCACGGGCAGCGGTGGTGCCGGCTGCGTGGCCAAGGCGGCCAAGCCCAGCGGCTCGCCGTGTCCGTGTCCATGTCCATGTCCATGTCCATGTCCATGTCCGTGTCCATTAGGCAGCGGCGTCTTGCTGGAGCTGTGCTCGTGCTGTTGCTGTTGCTGATGATGCTGTCCCACATGGCGACTTGTCTTCGAGATCTTGGCATTGCGCGAGAAGGCCTTGGTGAAACTGCTGCGCAGCCAGCCCTTTTTCTTGTTCGCCTTGTTCTTGTCCTGCGCCGCCGAGCAGCCCGAGCTGATGGAGTTCAGCGAGCACATCGAATCCGTGCTGTGTTGTCGCTGCATGGCCACACCCCCACCCACACCCAGGCCCAGGCCATTGCCGTTTGTATTGGCATTGGGATTTCCAGGTCGTGCATTGCCCACGGGCACTGGCGGCGGCTTCTGCTGCAGCATCAGCTCGTTCTGGCTCTGGCCCTGCGTCTGCACGCCCATGCTCTGCATGTGCGCGGTGGTCAGGCCCGCCTGGATGGACTGCTTGCGCAGCAGCTCAATTGTCTGCCGCATGTCTGTCAGCTCCCCATCCTTGCGCTCCGCCGTCGCCGTCAGCTGCTGCAGGCGATTGGTCATGTTGGTTAGCGATTGCTCGAACGCAGAAACCACATGGGCCTGCAAAAAAGAGAGTAGAAGGTTACATGGTGAAAAAATCTTCTTATTTATATAAAACAAACACATAATTTGGCTTAATACCAAGCTCGACTTGAAGAAATAAGTGTGAAAAGTTAAAGGTTTTCATGCTTTCATGAGTGATATGGGTCGGGTTTGAACCGTCGATTTCTCATTTGTCAAATCCTAAAGTGAAATGAAAAGAAAGGGAGACAGAAATGAACATCAGCTTTTTGCTAGTGAAGCGATTTTCAGTTCAATTTTGGCATTAATCTTAAAACGAAAAGTTCAAATTTGTGGTTTGAATATAATTCGGAAATTGGTTTCAAGCGAGTAAATATGTAGGGGGAGAGGGGGGGGGGGGGGGGGAGAGCATGGAGTACCTGCTGCATCAATAATTTATCATCACAATTGAGTGGCCCGTTCCCCGCCACGCCCCCTGTCAAGTACTATGCAACCCGCACGTCACAATCGTGCATGGCATTTTAAGCCCTGCTTGATATGCAAGTGGTTCCTCAACTGGTGTCTGGTGGCCTGGACAGAGATGACTCATGACTCATGACTCCTCATGCCTGAGCCTCTAAGCACAGCTTTAAAAACTTCTTTCAAAACTTGCCTCTCAGCACAGACTGTCCAGACACCTGCGCCATAAACAAGCATTAGAACCTGTGCCCAGTTCCAGGCAGCTCCTCAGTTGCCTGGCCGCAAGTTCATGGATGGATTTTTTATGATGCGACGTGACCGGCGCGCTCTCTATGGCTGTCGCTTGCGGATGGGTCATTGGGGGCGCTGGCGGCACGCATTTTGTCAGCGAGCTGCAGCATTTGTGAAGGCATTAATTCTCGCCTAGAGAAACATAGGGAATCTTAGAGCAGAGCAGGCGAATAACTGTTTCAAGTTAATGAGCGCTATTAAAGTGTAAAACAAGTACGAAGTTAGCAGTCGACTGCACAATACTCTCTCCTTCCCTTTTCGTCTCTCTGAATAATAGAGGAAGCGACTCTAAAACTGTAATCCCAAGTCAGTAAAGCATTTTATATTAAGGTTTGGAGTCTCCAGGTTATATAGCTTGGCAAAGATTGTGTTTATACGAGCAAATAGAAGGTCACTTTGACTTGTGACGAGCATTGCGCAAAGCCAAAATACTTGTTATATATGACTCAGCGCGGAAGTTATAATTGCACTTTGCTGTCCAGACGTGAGGGCATGCCAAGGGTAGGCAAAAGAAAAAGACCGGAAGCAGCAGCAGCAGCTAATGCTGAAGTGGCATCAATAGCCATCGAATGAATGGGCGAATTAGGTCTTGAGTTGGGAAAGTGAATGATGAAGTCAACTAATGCCAATGGGTTGCATCTGCAGTTGAACTTATTAAGTAACTGAGTTGGGGAACTAGTCGAATGCCCTTAATCATTATCTCAAATTGTCATTTGAACTTGGAAATATTATTTATGGAAATTACTTAAGTATCCCAAAGAATGCATAATTTACAGCAATTGAATTCCTCAGAAAGTTTTCTAGCAAGATTAAGTTGAAAGATTACCTAATAATTGACAGTATATTTTAATGTTCTTTCAAAATATAAATTTATTTTGTGGTTTGCTCCCAATAAGCTGTAAGGAATGCTCAAGTAATTTTGTAGCTTAAGTTTATCTACCTGTTAATTAACGTAACATTAACATTGGCGTGCGGTTAGTTAATAATACATGATGCATGGATGATATCATCGCACAGTTGTCTTTTGACAGTCGATAGTCGGCCACGCCCCGTTTTAATTAAATGGGAAGAATTTGAATTTTTGTCGTAAGCCAAGTAAAGCTGACTAAACGCTATCGCAGTTAGTTAGTTATTAGCCACAACCGACTCGTAACGCTCGTATCTCTGGTATCTCCCCTACCGTCTTACGTGCCTATGTTTCGTTTATTGATAAGCATCTAACACGTTTCACATTTTAATTTGCGTGCCGCTTATGCAAATTAAGTCAAGCCGACACGCTCAACAACAGCAACAACTGCGACAACAACTACAATTGGCGGCTTTTAAATGGAAAATAAGTTAAAAATAAAGCAAAACAAAATATTGGCCCCTTCTAGAGCTCAACTTGTTTACAGAGTTCAAGGACGGCGCTCAAATTGCTCGTTCAGCTGAGGCTGAGTTCATTTTTAAACGTTTTTTGTTTTTGCTTCTGTTTGTAACTATAAGCTCGCCCCAGCCCACGCCTAGCTTCAAAACAGACCTATCTTGATAAATTGTTTGATATCCGACTTTAATTGCTTTTGCACAAGCTTCGGCACGAATTGCCACTCAAAATTTCTATAAAACTCGATTGAAATGTTCGGGAGTTTTAGTCGCATTATAAGGTATATGTAAATATATATATCGGGCTCAGGGCAGTAGGTGCTTAGCTTTATCCAGTAAAGCACCTCATTTGCGGTCTCACGTGTTACGCATACGCACCGTAATCAATTTTTATGTTTCACCTGAATACGTGAGGCGGCTGCACAAATGTGGCACCACGAAATAATGTGAAAAGTTGGCAAGTTGGTTTTGTGGCATGTGGCAACTCCCTGAAAAGGGTTATCTAGGATCTTGGCTTTTGGGTGTTAGGAAAGGAGAACGTGGTTTTCTAATGTGGGGCTTAAGCGACTAAGCAAGGGCGAAAATAAAAAGGTTGTTTGGAGCACGTTCTGCAGAGCGTAAAATATAATTTAATTAGTCTGGCAACGTCAGCGCAGTCTAACGCCAAAATGCCTCGCATGCTAATTATGTTGATGATAATGTAAATGTAAGCTGAGTTTTGGAGCAGCGGGTAGCGCAGATTGCGAATAATATACAAGAATTTAAAGCCAAGACTTTTTTACTAACTGTCAAACTAAGTATTCAACTTTCTGGCAACTCTGAAAATATTTCATAGAAATTTCAAGCTGCAAAGTGGAAGACCAAATTGCTGAAACAAGAGAAACGAGTGCAATTGACATTGAAAAGCGACAAGCGGAAGGGCATAAAATGAACAGCAAACAACAGCAGCAGCAACATTTAGAACAACAACAACAGCTACAAGAGTGAACAACAATATATTTGCAACTGTTGCATGCTGCCCCCAACTCTTGAAGTTGCTCTCAAACTGTATGGCTTTGGCCAACTGTCTGCAATGTTGCTATTGCTGCTAATGTTGCAGCTGTAGTTGCAGTTGCTGGTGCTGTTGCTGCTGTTGTTATTGCTGTTGTTGTTGCTGTTGTTGTTGCTGCACTTCATTAGCACAGCGACGGCAACGGAGCGTAAAGAAACGCGTTACGCCTCGACGGGCAATGTTAGCGAAAAGGGAGAGGGTGAGTGAGAGAGAAAGGCAGAGACAACCAGACAGAGAGAGAGAGAGAGAGAGGGAGGGATAGAGCCAGCGAGTGAATGGCATATGGAAAGTCGGTTGTGTAGGGCTCCGTATGCTAAACAACTTTAGCAGCAACATCAGCAATAACAGCAGCAGCAACAGCAGCAACAAAAGTTACCAACTTTAATTCGACTGTCAGAGTTGCTCGCGCGTGAGATGTTGCCGTTGTTGTTACTATTGTTGCTGCTGCCTAATTTATTGCTTGCAATTTGCAGACAGCACAGCACAAAGTTCAAGTTCAATGGCAGCAACAACTAAAGCAGCAGCCGCAGAAGCAGCAGCAGCAGCAACAACAATAACTACTTGGCAACTTAAGTTTTTGGTCAGCAACTTTGCTGAACCAATTTTAACAAATTGCCATTGCTGATAGGCTGCGTATCAGCTTTAGATAACAGTCAACTATTGATAAGGCAGCGACCTTCGATTAGCTGCATAGTTAGTGTCTAGTTGCTTAAGTAGGTCGCCGGCAACAACGACAGCAACTGTTTCATGTTGCTGGCGTGCATAAATCATGGTGTTGTCGCTGCGGCAACGACAACCACTTGACAATTGCTGTTGCAGACATCGGGCGCACATGTGTTGCCTCTGGCAGCAACATGCCACGTAGGCGTGTGCACTTTGACCTTTTCAAATGATTTATGCCCCGGCAACAGCAGCAGCAGCAGCAGCAATTGCAACTGCATCTACACTTGACATTTGTTTGGCCGAGATGCTGCAAAGGAAGTGTAATAGTTGTCATTGCTTTGGGATTTATTATGCAGGTCGGTAGGGGAGCGTGGCATTGGAAATTTGCCAAGCATTGCCACAGTGAAAGTTTGACAGCCACTGGCAGGCATCAAGTGCGGGCGTTTGTCTAATTAATGATTAATGAAGGTCGCAGGTTCAAGCCAGCTGCCAATTTTAAACTTTTTTCTTCTGGTTTTTCAGCTGCTTCAAGTCGCAAAATGTGCAGAGGTCTAATCAATTTGACCCCGTGCCAAAGATAAAGACATCTTCCTAGTTAAAATGATTGATTTCTGTTGCTGGTTTTTCAGAGACGGCCTTAGTTAATGGAATGAATAGTTTTCTTTAAGTATGCAGCATAGGGTAGATAAGTGCCAGGCACTTAATCTATATATATAATTCATATATGTATATACATTTTTTATATCGCAATATATAATCGCAAGTGGCCACTGCATTAGATAAGATAAGATATTTGCGGGCATTAGTTCTGGTAATAACACTTTCCAATCTTATCGCCTTCACACTAATCGCCAGTGCTAGCAAAGAGTGTGCCGTATGTGAAAATCGGTTGAAACTCTTTTAATATAGATCTTAAGTTGAAATCAAATGGAATATTGTGCTTAAAAAGTTTCGGCAGACTTTTAATTAATATTTCTCAAAAGGTTTCACATATCTTTATTTCTGAATTTCTCATTGATTTCCTTTGCCATTTGCCGATCAGATTATTTTGCATTTTATTTGCCAACGCCTCAAAAACCGTTTGCCTTTGGCCAGGTTATCCTGAGCAACGCTCAAAGCTGATCACAACACAGTTGCCGCCACATAATAAACTGATTAACAAACTAATCCAATGCGATTGTTTACGACTGAGATGACTGTATCCAAAGCTGAACTCAGCCAGAGATGCGACATGCGCATCGTTTCCACTTGGACGAGCTACGACTGGGCAGCCAGAGCCGCGAGCAGCGGCAGAAATAGCAAATCATCATTAAGATCTTGTCAGAAAGAGAGAGGGAGAGGCAGAGGTAGGGAGAGGGGCAGCTGGCAGTTGGATTATGCTCGAAGTGAGAGAAACGGCACCACAGACACGCCGGACCCACACGGGACCACAGTCACAGGCACAGTCTTTGATCTTGAGCCGCCTCAGAGATCGAACTGTGGACAGAAGCTGGTGAAAGACAAAGATTGTAGTTTCCATTATTTGCACAAGACTTCTCTCTATAGCTGCAAAATTCTCAATTCTCGTTTCTCAGCGATTGCGCTTTGCAATTTCGCGGCATTGCACAAATTTGTGGCTTAGATAAATTTGGCATTTGGCTAATGGCCAGAACAACTACTTACGATACCCCCAAGTGTGCTTGAAATTGATCTGAGTTCGGTCACTTACCTGCAATGAAAAGAAAAAGAAAGAGATTGTCAATTTTAACTGCATTTTACAGAATATGTAGACATTAATTATAAATTACTCGCGGGATTCTAAGGATTGGTCTTGCACAACAGATTCGTTAACTGCCAGTTAAGAAGATAACAGGCAGCCCAAATAGATAATTCAAGAGAAGACTTTTTACGGGCTGCATCGATAAATATGTTATGCAAGCAAACGAAATATTTACAACATTTGTTCTGCAAAACTTGAAGTTTTCATTTTATTTCCAATTGAGTTTTGTACTCAAAGCAAATGTTTCTATTTCCTTCAATCGTAAAATTCTCGTTTTTGTGCATTTAGCTCTAATATCCCCTCCACTTGAAACGAAACCCATTTATAAGACCCTCCAGTCAGTAATTTACAATCGCTTAAGATCCTCAATTGAGTCCGTTTCCCCCAAAGACAACAACTTGAGCATTTCCACTTGTAAATCTCCTACTTACAGCCTAGTTCCCCTTTCCATCCTCCCCCTTCCCATTCCCCGCCCCCTGTGGAATGAGTTGTCGTTTTTCTTAAAGAACGACACGATCAATGTCCATTGAAGTGTGCATTGTTCTGTTTTTTTTTTTTTTTTTGATTGCTTTATTGATTATTCGATTTCAAGACCGGAAGCCACAAAAGACACACGTTCAGGATTACAACAAAAAGTAATCCATATGCGATTGTGTGTGTGTTAAAAATAAAACTCATGGAGAAGCAGAAACCTCAGACATCACATTTCAGACATCAGACCTCAGACCTCAGACCTCAGACCTTAGTCCAGCAACCAGTTTTTAATGCTTTGATTTTTATACCCTTATGGAGAGTATTCTAATTTTCTGACGAAACGTGCTAAGCACTTCAAAGAGTACTGATGTATTTGCATTTAGTACATATGTGTAACAGATCTATATCTATATCACATACATTTATCATACAAGAAAAACTTGTAGTTTATAAGATGTTATCTTAAACAAGTATATATAAGCAAAATCTTATTAATATCGGATTACAGTATCATATAGCTCTACATGAATAATCAATCCAAAAAAAAAAAACAGTTTTTGTTAAGGTATCTGTCAAAACTCAACATTACCTCACTTCTGCTAACAAATCTGCAAAATGGTATCAAAATGGTCTACTATAGCATATAGAGCCTATAGAAATAGTCTCTTAAGAATCTAGTGTTTGTTCAAAGGTTTAAGCTTCGGTATTTAATCTTGTCGAGTGTATTCAATCTTCGGCGTGCTGCTCTCAATATTTACAAATTTCGATTCGACAAGGCAGAGTAAAAACTTTATTCGTCTTTTTATCGGAAGGGCAGTCGCAGGTCTTCAGTTTCATCTTCAGCGTTCTGTTTGTCCATTGTTTTTTGTTGTTTGTTTTGATTCTGGTTTTGTTGTCGAGTTTGTTTGAGTTTGCTTTCGCTGCCAGCGCTGATTTCCTTGGGGAGACTGTCAAACAGACGCGCTCGTCCTGCGACCTGTGGACCCTCTGAACAGCTTCATCAGCCTCGAAGTCTTTGTCTTTGTCCTTTTTCTCTCTATTAAAAGTGCACACCGAAACGAGTTTCAGCTGCACTGCAAACAGGTTTCCTCCTCTGCTGGGTTTCGGTTTATTTATTTACGTTTTTTGTTGTTTTTTTATTTTTCGGCTTAGACACCTGTGACTCTTTGTGAACCGAGGCCTGGCCTGGCTTGTTCGAATAAATATTTATGAATTAAGCAGATACAAATTGCATTTGTCATAAATTAAAGGCTGCCACTGCAGCCAAGAATTTAGAAACCATGTTAAAAAAACCCAAATACCACAAGCAAAGAAAGACACCAAATAACTGCGCATAGATCAGGTGTTGCTGTCATGTTGCCTTTGACAAAAAACAAGCCGCCAAAAGTCAAGAGAGAGCCAGCCAGGCAGTAAGTCATTCAGTAAGTCAGTCAGTCAGTCAGTTAGTCATTGAGTGAGCGCTCAGCGGGCTGCCTTGTGGCAATTATAACGAGTATCTATGAGATACAAATGATGCATATAAGTATATATATACATATATGTATGTTGCATGTGCAGACAGGCCGTCGGTCGGTCGGGCAGCCGCCTGCCTGTCACTATACACGATCGCCACATCTCGTTTATCAGAAATTGTTTTTAATAAGCGATGCCAAAAGATAAAAACTAACGAGTTACTTAAGCACAGTCGAGCTCTGCAGCAACCCATTCATTGGCTTGCCAATTTGTTGGCATTTGTCGGCGTTGTTTACAGTTTTTTTATATTTTGTTTATTAATTATGCATGAGACGGGCTACAGTCGGGCTACTGCTAAAAAACTAGAGCAGCAACCTTGCATTAGAACCAGCGAAAAAGAAGAACTGGGAATATACTAAAAGAGTGCTCAAGTTGACAGATTTACGCGATTGAAATAAATTTTTGCTATATGGCTCTAATTGCGAGTTTAAGGTGAACGTGTTAATTATTTTAAATTGTTATAAAAGGCAACTGCGTTTGTATAGTTGATTGTATTTAAACAAAAAACTATTGCAACTGAGAGTAAGAGCAAGTGTCTGACTTATTCGCATACATCTTCTCTTATTTTGTTTATTATCTTACATATGCCTATTTCTGTTAACTTACAATGACTACAAGGTATACCGATTCGTTTTGATTCATTTGCAAAATTTGACATTCAATAAACTTGATAAATTGACAGCCCAGTTTTTACCTATGTAAAGCAATTAATAGACCCATATTGCGATTGATTGATCAATCAAAATCACATCAATCAGCTTTTGATGATGGCATTCTCTTTGGCTATTGCTAAATATGTTAATTTCGTATCAATTAAAGGCAATCAGCATTTGACATTCAACTTGATCTAATTGAACCGGTGAACTGCTGTAGTCAGCCATCAGTGGGGCACAGTGCTGCTCAAACTGTAATTATGATCGTGCCACTCGTGTGAAACACGCCCGCCAACAATCTGGCCAAGCTATCAAACTACCAATTTCACTTTTCATTTAAAGCCTCGCCGCTTCTCGTCTCGAGTTACCAACTTAAATTGGCAGCTGTTGAGCTCCTCGGCGCCTCGGCTGCTCATAAATAAACATGAAAAACGCTTTAAAACTCGCTGCCGTTTGCTAAGCCAAAAAAAAAAAAAAATATCTATAAAAACCCGATTAAAAAAAGCGCCAAATCGGAAAAAATAAATATATTAAATGTACTCGACAAGCGGCTTATCTGGCAACTTTATTTGCTTTGAAAGTTGACATTGATTGGACCCGCAATTGCCGCATTTGTGCATGGACTTGTATGCCAAAAAAAGATACCTCTTGTGATTGTTTACAACTTTGACTTCACACATGTTTCTATATATAACTGACTACTCTGCCATTGTAGGACTGCTGCGAAGATATCATGGACGCCCAAGAAATATTTCATTCTATATGCGAAGAGCGACGAATCCCCTCTGAATGGCATTGACTACAATAGCGCTACATCAGACCGTTCGCTCTGTTACCAGGTAAGAGCATAAATTAAAGGTCTTTCAGTTCATATTACGGTATCCAACCATTTCAGTTAACTTGGGCGTGGATGGGGTTGGAGCTCTAACTGCGGATGTATTGCATAGCCTGCCTGCGCTTCCTCGTCCGGTTGTTCAATGGACTCGCTGACAATAGCCAACTCCCAATCACGATGAGGCCACGGGCTCTGAACTGCTTCAAAAGCACCTTATCAGCTTGTTCGCTGTTTTACCAGGTAAGAGCATAAGTTGAATGTCTTTTAGTTCATTTTACATTATACTTCTATTTCAGACGAATTCTGGAGAACAAGATTGCAACTTGGCGAGATAGATTTGGAGTTCTAAATGCACATGTATTGTACTCCGCTGACAATGGCCAGCTCCCGGCGTAGATGAGGTCACGGGATCGCAGCTACCTTGATTATCATTTGCCAAAAACTCGACTGCTGCCACGCCCTCAAAATTAGCTAGTGCGCGCAGCTAAGTATGTCATATCGTAGTCTCCCTATTACTCCCTTTGCTTGAATTTCAAAACGAGTAGTAGAACATTTTGTAGTTTAAGCAAGGTTCTATTACTATCCTACCGCATTTGTAAGGATATGGTCAAGCTATGGCTAATTTTGTAAAATTAAATTGATCACAAATAGTACATAGCTTAGCCAATCAATGACTATTCTAATGTCCTTTGGCCAACATATAGTCCTTACCCAATTGAAAATGCTTAATCAACATGATAAAGGTCTTCACGATACTCACGAGTCTTCGGTAAATCAACTTGCATAGAAGCTGTCCTTGTGTCAGGGATTTCAAAATTTCATCCTGTTTTCCATAGGCTCGCAAATAAAATTTGTGTAACCCTTAGATGCTTTAATGCAGATCGATGCAGTTACTCCTAACAATCCCGTTACATCAAGCCTTTTCAAAATCCATAAGGATATGACGGAGCTATGCTTATTTTTAAAAAAGGACATTAATCTCTAAATCGGCCACAATTTTGCCATTTAAAGGACTATCGTGATTTCTTTTGGCGAATCCAGATTCCTCATCCGTGCATTTAAATATCAGTTTCGAAATACTAGAAAGTCCTTCGAATAGCCAAGAAAAAAGGACATTTGTCTATAATATGATATATTTCAGCCCAGTCCTTGCGAATCCTGAAAAGTGGTATGTCAAACAACTTATGTGGACTAGGGCTATCAACTAGCCAAAGGACATCAAAATCGTCCTTGTTGTTTTCAAGATATCAAGGATTTTGTTTTCAGTCTACTTTCTAGCGCATCGCCACAAATTTTATCAAGTCCATGATTCTTAGACAAGCCTATAATATTTAAATGCAGATCGATGCAGTTGGTCCCAACGATCCAAACGCACCATGTCCTTTAAAAATCTGAAGGAATATGGTCGAGTTATAGCTATTTTTCTAAAAAGGATACTATTACAAAACTGGCTGTATTTTGGCCATTTCAAGGACTTCCGACATGTCCTTTGACCATCAGAATGTCCTTGTTTTGCCGATTGAGAATATATAATTAAAAGGACGTAGGTCCTTTAATCACCAAGATATAAGGACATATATTTTGTATTTTAAAATTGCTATATCTCAGCCGAATCCTTGCGGGTCCTGACAGATCCTGTGTTAAACAAACCGTATGGACTAGGACTACAAACTGGCCAAAGGACATGCAAATCGTCCTCGTGGTTTCCGATATACGGCCACTTTTCTAAAAAGGACATTCTTTTTATGGCCATATCCTGGCCAAATCCTGAAGGATATCCGAACGATATACTTTTTTGAACTCGTGGGAAGCAATACTATCGATTGGCATTCAAGGATTTCCAGGATTCGACAAAAAATTTCACTAAAATTTTTTACAGGGGTTTAGTCAGAAAATGGCCAAAAATTGAAAAAATGGGGACTAACTTCGCCATTTGAAGGACTATCGGGATGTCCTTTGGACAGTATATAGTCCTCATCATCCCATTTACGAATATGCAACCCAAAGGACGAAAGTCCTTCAGACAAAAATGTTTTAAGGACAAATTTTTTAACCTAAAATAGCTTATAACTCGGCCATATCCTGGCGTATCCTGGCGAGTCCTGTGTCAAAAAAATTGTATTGACTAGGACTACCATCTGGCCAAAGGACATCAGGATTGTCCTTGTAGTTTCAGAGATATCGCGATTTTACTGTAATTGTATGAATTCGGGCAATTTTCCTTGCGGCCTGCGACTGAAAATTTACCAAGTCCAGGATTCTTAGATGACCCCATAATGTTTTAATGCAGTTCGATGCAGTATGTCTCCACGATCCTAACGCACCGTGTCCTTTGAAAATCTGCAAGGATATGGCCGAGTTATGGCTATTTATATCCTCTAAATGACCTTATGACATTTTTAATGCAAATGTGTTTTTTTCTTTTCAGATTGAAGGATTCAAGGACTTTCATCAATTCTAAGGATTTTTACGAATCCAACAAGGCTACTCCTACAAGGATCGGGCTTATATTAAGCTAGATATAGTAATTTTAACTTAAATTCGAAAATACATGTAAAAACAACAAATTTGTTAATTTAAACAATAATAAATAATTAATTTATAATTATTTAACAAATTCCTGTTTTTATTTACTTCCACGATTGCAAAAAATTCAAAAATCAACGGTCGTTAAAAATCTGTCCTTGGTTGCCGAGATTTTACTAAAATTCAGCCGAAATACCAGGCGAACATAATTGACCAGAAGGTCGCCATAAAATTTCAGCGGTTTAAAATTTTCATTGCATACCCGAAGGGGCGCGCTCGTCGCCGGCTGGGTCGCCAGATTTTTACTAAAATTTGACTGAAATACCAGGCGAACATAAATGCCCAGCAGGTAGACGAAAATCTTCGAATAAAAAATTTCATTGCATACCCGCACGGGGCGGAAATGTAACTCATTTAAAATGAGTTATGTTAAGTAACAGATCATGTTAAATGAGTGCTGTAAGGACGGGTATTTAGCAGAAGCTGCAGATGCAGCAATGTACAGGGGCTGCTGAAAGAAATAGCATACGTGTTTTTGGACCATTTTGGTGCAAATTTTGCAGGGATCTGCGTTTTTAGGTTCCCAAGGACTATATCAATGGTATGGCATAACCAAGGATATGATAGTCAACTAAGAACCATTAAGGGGCATGGCTGTTTCTGGGGGCGGCTAAAAGAAAAATCATACACATTTCTTTAGGTTCACCAGGACTATATCTATGGTATGGTATGACCAAGGATATAAATGTCAACTGGGAGCCAACGAGCGGGAGTGGCTGCTGGGAAAGGAAGAGGGGGGGGGGGGGGGGGGGGGGGTGCATGCAGTATTCGTATTTCTCTGAAAAATACAAAATCCGCCATAAATACAGCGTAGTGCAATCTCCAAATGTTAGGAGAGCATAATCCGCAGTTGGTATTTGTCTTCCCTTTAATTCGACTCAGAATAAATGTGCAAAGGCAGCTCCCAATAGAGTACAATGGAATGATCTTGCCATCTCGCTTTGCCTGTTTCATATGTATATATGTATGAGCAGCTCAGCGAATTAACTGTAACTCTCCTTTCGTTCTGATATTTATGCACATTCGCTAATCTGTTTCGCTCGCTTGCATTGACGTGGTTGTTGTTGCAATAAAAATAACAAGCGAAAAGCTCCGAAATAGTGATGCTTGGCTGAAAGTGAAGATTTGGCTGAAAATATGAAATCGGCCATGACTTAGCCATTTAATTCGAATTAATGGTATTAGCTCGGGTAAATAAAGTCCGATATTGGAAAGATATATATTTCTGGAGTCGTAAGAGTTTATAGAACTGATTGATAACCAACAATTTTGATTTCAGAAGTGACTCACTTTTGCCTTATTTTAGAAGTGCAATTTTTTGGTGGCAATCAAAGGTCGTGATAAGCAAATTCCAGGATCGGTATTTAATTATAACATAATAAGCTTTTCTATAGCTGTATTTTTTGACTGTGACATTATATTTATAAAAATATACCTTGGCTTTAATTATGACGTTGGCAGCCAACTCCAGATGTTAGAGTAGACTAAAGTGCCATCTCTATTTACCAGGCGAACATAATCGCCAGCTGTTGATTGCTTCGATCTGCAAATGCAAATGCCTTTTACTTTGACTAGGAAAGCGTGCACTCGCAGATAAGGCGTAAAGCTGAACGACGCGTGCAGCACGATAGAATGCTATCTCTTTCACGCTGCTAGCTATTTGCTTGCCTGCGTTAAGTATGTACAAAAGTGCGCAATGCCCGCTTGGTGGACAAAACTGTAATTCTCCCTTTGTTATGGTTCTTATGCACATCTCTCAATCTATTTCGCTCGGTTGTTGTTATTGTAATAAAATGAGTAGAAAAGAGTTGTCCGCTAGGGACGGCAAATTTACGTGAGCTTTAATAATACTCTGTCATAAGTCTAGCCTTTTGTCTAGGGCGCAATCTAACTTATTTGTGCAGTGCTTAAAATAATGTTGGCTGCCTCTTGTCAACTTTGGTCATTTATAAGAAACGGGATATTTAATTGCAATCGACGGACCTGATCCAGGGACGTCGAATAAGGGTAATTTATCTAGAAGCAGCCTTATGCCTTTCTATAAATATGTAATTAAATAGTAGTGTATTTTATGTATTTTTATAAAATTGATCAATAAACTATAAATTCGTACTTTCATTTAAACAAAATCAAAACATTCTTGCAGCAACTTTGAACTAAGGCTTTAATCATGACGATGGCAGGCGCCGACACGCGTCCGAGTTAATGTAAAGGCCATCTCTATATACCAGGCGCACATAAAGCGAAGGCTGTTCTTTGCTTTGATCTGCAAAAGTCTTCACTTTGACTAAGAAAGCGTGTGCACACGGAGAGCGTGAACTTGAGAGAGCTGTTTGCTTTGCCGCTCTGAGCACATGTGAATGGATACACACATGCACAAAGCAGCATTAAGTGTCGTTGAGTCGAAGACAACGACTCAATGCATACATACATACATGTATGCATGTATGTGCTATAGCGCTTTGCTGAAAAACTGTAATTACACCCTGCACGCATTCAAAATGTGTAAGACAGGGTATAATGATTTTGAGGAATTTTACGAAAACTGTTCAAATTCGCAAATGTATTAAGTTTACATATTCGAGGTATTCTATTATAAAAATGCATTATTATACTATTGAAACTCTTTAATAAAACTAAGGAATACGCATTTTATATTGAAACGGCAGACCTTATAGACGTACAAGTAACAAAGGGTATTTGTATTCTTTAGAGACTTTGGATTGTTTGAATGGCTGTCTCATTGATACTTTTGTTGAGCTTAAGCACTCTGTGTTTTTAATTTTTTAGAGCTTTTAAATACCTGTGTTGCCCATCTGATACTTTTGCTTAGCTCAAACTTAACTCTTTTCCTGCAGAGCTGAAGGGAGAGCGGGGAAGTTGCCAGCTGTGGTCCGGGCCAAGAGCAAAGCTGATTTCTTCGTGGACAACATATCAATTGCGTGTTGTTCTGCGAATGAGGTCGTCGGTTTTGGACATGGCCAACAGATGTTGTTGGCCTGTCTGCACAGACGTACATAGGTGAGCTGGCAGCGTATGATGAAGGATTAAAATCAGGCAGCAACCAGTGCTGCCCAAACTGTAATCTGCAATACGTGCCCAAGACGTTGGCTCATTTATTTAATATGCTGAACTGCCCGCGCCCAAAGGCACGACGCGCTCAGCGGACGAGGCTCATGCAAGTTTTATTAAATCAATCAGTGGGCAAACGCGTCTAACGGCAACTGACAACTGGACGCGTGGACAGCCGGACAGTTGGCCAGCCGGACAGTTGGACAGGTGAAAAAGTGGACGTTGGCCACTCGCATAGCTTTGCCTTATGCGCCGGCTTGCATTTGTAATGCCAAAGCCGGATGGGGTATGCCGCCTGCTGCAAGACAAGGAACAAGGAACATGCCACTTGGCATAACTGTTGGCCAAATGCTGCTGCATTTCTCTGGCTGCATCCAAGCTTGGCCCGGCAGCTGCAGTATCGATAGCCAGCACATAGCTGACATTGTTTCCATAAAAGTTGGATACAACAATGCGAATTTTATATGTATTATAGTCTATAATTATAGACTTAATCATGCGGATTTTACCTATTTTTTTTTAAACGAATTCATCGCTATTTAGAAACTGATCGATATTTATCGATATTTTGGACTGAAAACTTGTTTACATACAGCAATAGTAAACGAAGTTATTTGGCCTGAAGAAAATAATTCTCTAAGAAAATAATTCTCTCAATGCAACTTATATATTGGCATAGTACTTAATGTCTAAATAACTAGCCTCTTTTTCGCTTCGATCATTTTTGTTATCGATAACTTTATGCAATCGATAGTTGATTTATTCACCTGCTCATTTAGCTGGGGCGATGAGGGCAACGTCAGGGCAGCTCCTGTCACGCCGCCGCTCATGGGCGGACACGACTGTCGCTTGAAGTCGCGTCGAATGGCCAGCTCGTACCAGGGGATCAGCGGCTTGCTCCTCAGCGTTGTCTGGCAGCCGATCTTGAAGTCCAGGGGATCCATATACTCCGGCGCCATGCGATTCAGATCGCTGACTGCCGCCTCCGCGGTGGCATATATGTTGCCAGCCGACTTGTGGTTGCCCTGTGGATGCCGCCAAGGGCCGTTCATGTCCAGCATGGAGCCGCACGGCGGCACATCCAGGCTGCGATGCAGGCCAGCGCCCATGCTCTTGACCCGCATGTGGCCCAGCGTGTGATAGCGCCGATCCACGGCGCTGGGCAACATAGGCATGGCACTGGGCACAACCAGCAGCTCGTCCTGGTCGATGGTGGCCAGGCTCTGGCTGGTGTAGGAGCGCTCCAGCAGCTCGGTGCTGTTGCTGCGCTGTGTCACGATGGGCAGCTCGTACAGATTCAGCCGTCTGGTGGTCGGCGGCCGCGTGGGCGTCGCATAGATCTTTGGCTTGGCATAGAGACTCTCGCGGCGCACAGGCGCCGGCGGCGGCAGACCCGTGGGCGAACGTGGTGGCGCCTCCGTCAGCGACAGGGACAGCGTCATGGGTCGCCGGCTGCCCGTCGAGCTGACGGAATTGTGGCGCAGGGTGGCCCGCCGGCTGTCGCGCTCCTGCATATCAAAGCTCAGCTTGGGCAGCGGCGAGTAGCAGACGCGCTCGGAGCTGTCGTAGGAGCTGCGCAGGCCGCTGTCCAGCCGCCGCTTGGGACTCGCCGGCGCGGTGTACAGAAATATGTGCTCCTCCTCGCCGGCGGTATTGTAGTCAGGCGTCTTGGGCGTGGCGCTGCTCTGCAGCGAGTCCAGCGAGAAGCGCGAGTTCTTCTTCACGCTCTGATAGTCGCAGGGCATGGAGCCGCCGCCCGAGGAGCTGGATGCATCCGACAAGGGCCGAAAGCCCACAACCGAACCGGACGCCGATCCGGACGCAGACGTGGCAATTGCCGCTGTTGCACTCGCATAGATCGGCTCCAGATCGCCGATGGTGGGCGT